TTTCAACGCTCCCATCTCTCTTATACGCTTTTATTTTTATTTATATAATAATTAATTTCTTTTAAGTATATATATATATATATATATATATTGGCTCCAAATAAAATATCTTATACGTGCAATATATATTTAAGAGTAAATAAATAAAGAAATTTAAAATATTTATAATGTGCAAAAGAATAAAAATTCAACGTTCACAATATATTCGTAAACATTTCAAGTATTTTATCGATAAAACTTACTGTGCACAATAGTACTCCACTTTTCGCTTGGCTGAAAGTTTTGAAAACTTCTGTCCTTTCTTTCTGTATCATATTACCGTGTAGTTTAAAGAATTCTACATCAACCAGTGGATTGGAGTTTTCGTCATCATCGTCTATTGATTTCGTAAGAATAGAAGACAAAATTTCGGTATGATAATCTACCATATCTTGCGTAGCCATAAAAATCAGTATTTTATGCTGTCCAGGAGTCTATAGAAAAAAAAAATGGAAAATGCTACTTGTCCACTAATCTTAAATCAACACAACAATACTATATTATTGATAATATGGAGATTTTCTTACCTGACATCTCCCGGCGATGTAAGCGCTTAAAGTGACCATTCTTAATTTGGGCGGAGTGACTATGTAACTCTGAATTACACTTTGCGGAACTATTAGATCTTCATTAATCGCATTAGTATCTCCCCCGCTCACTTCTAAATTGTTTTTAGCTGCGTCAACGAAAATTGGATCGTGCATTGTGAGACCCGCTAATTTTTCAACAGCTTGTGTCAAAGTCGCAGACAATAAAATTGTTTGTCTATTCAATTGATTGTCATAATCTTGCTTGACGTTTTGAATATTTTCTACTGTCGAATCAGATTTTTTATTTATGCCGGAATGCTTTATATCTTTTTTCCTTTTTTTTGATAGTACAATACTATTAGCGGCATGATCGCTATCATCATCGTCGCTTGAATGATATATTTGTTTCTTTTTACTACTATCAATATTATTTTCTTCTGTTTTGAACTTCATATCATCTTCCTTTAAAGTTTCTTTAATTTCTTCATCTGTAAATATCTTCTTACTATTTTGTCTAAATATTTTCATAGCGTCGTATTCTTTTTCATTGTTAGAGCATGATACTTTCAAAGCACTTACTATCCTAAATTACAAAAAAACGTATTATTATAACTAAACGTTATAATTATATTCACGTTATTATTTATATTCTTTCTTATTATTAACATATTAAATAACAATTGCATTAATTTACATACAAAATTAATATGCTCCTTTTGCAAAATAAAAAAAATATGAAACCTACCCAGAAATATCCATTTCATATCCCATATCAAGCATTCTGTCAGCTTCATCTAACACGAAATATCTAACATCATTTAATCTCAATGCTTTTGTGTGTTTTATGTGATCTAATAATCTACCAGGAGTAGATATTAATATATTACATCCCTTACGTAACCGAGCTTTTTCCGCTTTTCTCTTTTCTCCGCCAGCTATATAACCTGGTACGATCCACGTAAAAGGCTAAAATTATTTAAAATGTAATTTTGATATGTCTAATAAATGCTAATGTATGCAAAATTTATTCGTCTAACTTACTTTAACCAATTTAATAAAGCACTCGTACGTTTGCAAGGCCAATTCTCTTGTTGGAACAACTACAAGAGCCAATAAACCACTATTTCTATTAAGTTCAGGTCTAATTTTGTGTAAGAGTTCAACAATGGGTAAAGCATACGCTAATGTTTTTCCAGATCCCGTCTGAGATCTTATTAAAACATCCTTATTTGAGAATATTTGAGGGATCGCTTTTTGTTGAACAGTTGTCATTTTAGTTATACTCATATTTTGCTTTAAATTTGATATCTGTGAAAAGAATTATAAATTGTTATTTTGCTGCAAATATTTTCCTTGCAAATGTTTGTTATCATAAATACTAACCATATATGGATGAATATTGAGATCTGCGAAAGTAATCTCTGTAAAAACTGGTTCATTTACAGGTTTTACAAATCGCTGGCCTATGGTTGGTATATCGGGATTATTACCAAATAAAGAGGACATTTTTCCACTAGCTCTGTGCATTAATTTTAGATTTTCGTCCGATTCTTTGTTGTTATTTACAATTTTCTTTTTACTTCTTTTTTTTTTCTTTTTATTCAAGATATCTGTCTCCTTTGTGTTTTTTAAAATAGATGATTCTTTAGTTACTTTATATTTCTTATCTGATTTAAAATTATCTTTAAAAATACCATGTTTTTGTATTAAATTTAGAGCATTTAATTCATTTTGATTTTTCCATTGATTTGAAAATATATCAGAAAGTGATCTCTTCGATTCACTTTTTGAATCATCTCTCTTTTTTGCTAACAATGTTCTACCAACATTTTCTTTTGTTGTTTTTGTAAAAGATACAATTGATTCATTTGTGGAATCAATGTTTGCAGTAGAAGGAATCTTATCAGATTTTAAAACTGGTAATTCATTAATTACTTTACATGTCTTGTCTAATTTAAAATTATTTTTAGAAATGTTATGTTTTTCAGTCAAATTTAATAAATCTGTTTCACTCTGATTTTTTAACTGACTTGAAAATATAGTGGAAAATGATTTCTTTGATTGATTTTCAACCTTTGATTTATCTTTCCTTTTCACCAACGGGGTTCTATCAATATGTTCTTTTATTGCATTTGTAAAAGACACAGTTGATTCATTTATGGAATCAAAATTCACAGTAGAAGAAATCTTATCAGATTTCACATTCTTTTTGCTTATTACATTAGACTGTTCAATTCTTTTTGGCTTTGTAGCTTTTGCCATTAGATCTTTATTTTGAGATAGAATTTGAGGATGTAGTACGTTTCGACAGACAGAGTTTGCTTCTTTCAACTTTTTAGCAAAGATAGCTGATAATGACTTCTGTTTTATTCTTTTTTTGTACCCTATTTCTTGCGTATCCATGGTTTTTCTTGATTCTTTGCTATTTAGTACTGCATCTTTATGGAAAGATTGATTCTTTAACTTTTTAATCGAGGTTTTGAAAGATTTGGTTCTTCTCAATGTATTCTAAATACAAACATTTATTTTACATTATGCATCAACCTCTTTCTTACGTTTTCAATTTTCTACACGCAATTGAATAAAATCTATACAAATTCTTTGCACATATGCAGTGTGTTTATAGACCTTTCCTAACCTATAATCTAACCATAACCAAACACCTACCTTTTTCATTGTGACAGCTGGACCCGCCGTTACATTTAAACAGATGTCCATGTCTTGAATTGTCATTAATACGTTGTTTATCACAAATCACTTTTTTCTTAGATATATAAGCGGAAAAATAAAGTACGCGTAAAGTAAGAACATCTACCACGCTGTAAAAAGAACATGTGGCGAACTGCGTGAATGCTGGCGCATGCGCGTATCTCAGAGCGGAGCAGAGATTATATAGTAGGTCTGTTCTTTTTAGTTAAAATTCTTGCATGGCTCATCTTTCTTCCTTTTCTCTTCATGTTAGAGAGAAAAAGAGAAAGATGAACCGTGCAAGAAGTTCAATTAAAAAGAACAGGCCCAGTGTTTTCGAGACTTAGTGTTTGTATGAAATTCATATATATATATATATATATATATCCACTAATTATATGCAGAATTTACAGTTAATATCGGATCTAAACGGTACTAATGATTAAAGATCTCTTAATCATCAGCTGGAGCCATTTTCGATTTCTTTCCTTAAGAAAAGTGTTTCGATATACTGATTAATTATTATATTAAAACATTTTTTCCTAAGAGAGTTAAACGCGAAAAATCGCATATATGAGCACAGGTGGGATTGAATCCGGATCTACAGATAATCGCGAGATAATCACACCGCAAACGATACTTGACGCCTCAAATCTAATATATTTAGAACTTCTTTAAAAAAATGTTTGCAGCTAATAAAA